GGGGGGCATTAAGCCTTGGTTAGTGACCGTGCAGACCCCCCCCACCCCCGCCTGCCCGTGCCCCAGGGTTGGAGAGGGGGGGACACGGGGGGGGCACAGCCTTCCTCCTTCTCGCCCCCCCTCAGGCTTTCTTGGGTGGGGGGGCCAGTTTGATGATCTCCTCTTCCGAGGGCTGCCGGATGATGTCTGCTGAGACATGGGGGGGTCAGTGGGGGCCTCTCCCTGTGCTCCCCCCTCCAGTGGGACCCTGTCCCTGCCTTGGGGGTTCCTGTTTTTACTCTGGGCCAGGGGGGGTGGTCCCTGTCACAGCCTGGTGGGGGGGGTGGTGTGGGCAGGCTCACCCTTGTACTTCTTGGCGCTGGGGATGCGGGTGAGCTTGGTGTCCACCTCGTCCTCCTCGGAGATCTTGAGGACCTGGGTGCGGTACTGGACCACCATGGTCAGCAGGTCGGGGCGGCGCGAGATCTCAAAGATGTGCTCGATGTAGGACAGGTTGTCTGGGGGGCAACGGGGGACACTTGTGGGACACCCCCTGCCATGCAGGGACAGGGGATGGTGACAGGTACCACAACAGGAGATGGGAGAGGAGAGGGAGAGACGAGGAGAGGGGATGGAGCTGGGGACAGGCAAGGGAACCCGGGCAGGGGACAACAATCCCAAGGGACAGGAACCGGGATGGGGACAAAGTGCAGGAACGAGGGCTGGAATGGAAACCAGAGCATGTGGCAGAGCCCGAGGTGGGGACGGGGGAAGGGACAAGGATGGGATGGGGGCCAGGACAGGGAAGAGGAGAGAGCCAGGGACCATGGACCAGGATGGGGATCAGGAGAGAGAACAGGGACTGGGCGGCAAGGAGGGGACCAGACCCCAGGGGACTGGGACTGAGGCAGGGGACACGGATGGGACCAGGCCAGGGATCTGGGGTCCAGGAAAGGAGGCAGGGGATGGGAACCAGGGGACAGACAGGGATCAGGGCAGCACCAGGGGTGGGGACCAGGGGAGGGTCAGGCAGGGCTGCCTGGAGGCCTCACCCCGGTCCAGCTTGCTGTGCTTCTCCAGGAAGGCGAACCAGTGCTCGCCGGTGGCGATGGCCTCCCCCTCCCCGCTGGGAATGTCCTCCTTGCAGGCCGACTTCAGCTGCTCCAGGTCCTCGGCCGTGATGTTCCGGGCCAGCTCCTCCAGGAGGCTGCGGTACTCGGCCATGGCTGCGCCACAGGCGTCACGAGCTGCCCGGCCTCAGACACCACCCGTGTCACGAGCTGCCCGGCCTCAGACACCACCC